GAGCCTAAGGCACTTAGAAACCGTAGGGAGCGTGAACTCATTGCCTGGATATCTCTGGATTCCTATCAGGACACCATGATTATCCCATCAGAATGTCAAGTTTGGTCGATTCTGTCATGTCCCCATTACGAGTGGGATAGAAACGGTTGATTAGAAGTATGGCCTTAGGTGCATTCTGCAATGACAACTTACAGATGTTTAAGACATTCGGCAAATAGATTCATTAACATACCAATTTGGTTTCCATGGGATGAATCCCAGCTGAATCTCTTGTTTATAGCGTTTGGCAAGGGAATGTGCTGCACCAAGACGTCTAATGTTTTATATTCGGGATACTCCAATATAATGCACAGATGAAGCGCGCTACTCATAAGGTTACTAAAAACACGGACTAAAGTTCATGCCCCTGGGAAGTAAAACACAAGATTGGCGGAAAATTCGGGACTGCGCCTACCTGACGAGCCCAAGAAAAGCGAAACCGGTCGTAGGATTCCAGCAACCTCATGAGTAATGTCTCTTGGAAGTTCACCCATATGAAACAACCACCTTTATTTCGTCCTGCCACCGTTTGTTGTTGAAGTATTTTACCACATTACCCTGGCCGAGTAGAAGCCGATAAGAAGCACGGCGCCTTAAAAGTAATGGTCACCCGTGTGGATTGGGTTCAACTAAAGAAGAGAACATGATGTTTGACCAAAAGCTAACAAGTCTAAGTACTGAATCCCTCGCCTAGCCGCGTATAACTGGAATAATCCCAGGCGTAGAACCGAAATGCCTACCTGAATGTAGTTCAACGGTAACAAATCCGCGCAACAAATAGCTTAACATCACAAGGCTTACGAGATGGGTAGGCATTCACATTCCTTAAAAGCTGTTCAGATGCGCAGTCTATAAAATTCCAATGGCAAGTTCCCTACTCCGGCTCGCCGAGTTAAACACCCTCCCTTATGACGGTGGTGGTCAGTTCGCAATCTAGTGGCTAGGAAATCGTGTGCACCTTCGTGAGCTGGTGGAAATTTCCCTATGCCCCCCCCCCTATTACAACGCTCAAAGAACGGTTCTGGTCCTTGTACTTGGTTTCAGGGTCAACAATCCCCATCTCATGAAGTTATGTTGATTAGAATGAAGTCACGAATCCAACAGCATTCCTTCTCAGTCAGTGGTGGACCACGTGAAACAAATTTAGCAATCTGAATAAGCGAACTCGCTTCCGGTGTAAGAAAATTTCCCATTCTAGGCAGTTTTTAGTTAACAACCTAGATCAATATACATTTAGAGTTCATAAGTTGTACCTTCTGTAGAGACCACCCAGAGGGATCGAGTGATTAATTCTGGCAGCGTAGTTGAAAAAAGCTTTCAAGTACAGACCAGAAAAGTCTCCCTGAGCGGGTGGTCTATTCGGGATAATACGACTGCATAAGGCGGTGTCCCCCAGTTCGGGAAGGGATTTGAGCCCCAAATTTGAAGATTGCTTTTCATTCGTCTGATTTATCTGGTGTTCGAATAAACCAACGTTCACGCTTACTAATTTTAGGTCATTTCGCCCCGCTAACCACCTGAGCTTGTCCCTCGTTAGTAGCAGATGCTCAGCTAGGGCTCGTGTGTTGGCTAAATAGACAACGGGGAAAAAGTTAACAGATATACACTCATGTTCCTGACTGGTATCCACCTTAACTAACCACCAGGCCTCAGTTTGACTCAAAATCGAACGCCTCAACCACCTCTATGGAGTTCAATATAGAATTTGTCTCCATTAGGACCCTACTTCACTAGCCTTCTTGCCTTAATTTGTTCCACGCTTTCGAAAACCGTCACACGCAAAACCAACTCATTCCTGTGCTGTCAGCTTATACAACATGCAGTATGAATTTTTCTACTGTTAAAGGAATTGCAATGGCTATTACATTTGTGCGTCTTGAGCAAACAAAAAGTAGATGCATAATGTTCAGGAATTCGTAAATTTCTGTTTGCATTCTAGAAGTAATCACGGTCAGACGGGCTCCCCTTAAACTGGTTGCCTCAGAACTTCCACAGCATTAACTATATCAGTACATACAGCGAGCGAATTATAGCACCGCACAGGTTATGTGAGCTAACATTCATTCACCCCTTACTATCCCTTTGGCCTTGAACTGACTGCCACGGGCAAAATGTAAAAGTTGAAAAGTTGGATGAGAGCAGGGTACTACTCACTGTGGTGATATGGGCTGAAACTGGAAAGGTGGTTGGTCAGTTTAGGAGTACAAGTTCGCTAATGACTACAATACTCCATCCTATCAAAAATCGTACCTAGTAAAAGATGTACCTGGTCCCAAGACATTCGACGCTTTCTTACCTCAATACTCTGTCGATGGCTATCAACCGCTCGTTCGTTTCCAGCTCACCAGTTAAGCGCCAGTACGTTTCACTGGTGCGTTGCTGTCAGTGATGATGATGACGATTCTAGCTCATCAAAGATCCTCAGATAGTGTTGGGTGCGTTAGAGCTCGCGCGATATTTTGAAAGCATGAACTACAAAAGGTGCACCGTAGTCCTTCATTAAACGAGTTTTTGAACTTTCAGCTTAGTACACATTTGCACTGATCACCTGATTCGTTAACTTCACAGTATTCAGTTAGTGGCAGACAACCATGATAAAACAAAGATAGTGGGCTTTTGCGCACCTGAAACTAGTGGTGGGCTGGTCATGCAAGCGATTAAGATGCTTGTCTTTGATCAACAGCCTGGCGTAAAATTCCACGGTACATAAAGATGAGGCAAGTACAAAAGTGGAGTGGCTCCATTTGTCCTAAAGGTGGCCTCAGCAGCAGCATGGGAACAGCAGCATTCAACAGTCCAGAGATATATGAGTTTGTCAACTTTCGCTGGCGACAACATCTTACGGAAAGAGTGAGAAAATNGCAGACATCTAACTTCTAAAAAGGTTCAGAAGTCACGCAGCACAAGTTATTCTGTTGACTAAAACAGCAAGTGAAGGTAACGAATGGTTTCGTCTCCGTGCCCGATCTCGGCAAGTATAGCATTCGGAAAAAACTCTACCCGCATGAATTTGGAGCCGCTTTCAACAGTTGAATAATCACAAATCTGGCGATCAGGTTGTTCGCTGAGGTCGACAGTTTTGTTGCAAACAGTTCGTCACAGTCGATGTGACGTTAGTGCGTTGCTGTGAGGCGAAGAGGAATCATGCTTTTAATGGTTGTGCGTTGAGTGGTGGTGTGCGCGATTACGTTTGCGGGGTTTGCGTTTTGATGGTTTTGAGCGGCCTTTCAACCTGTCACGTGCTATTTGTACTCCATGAGTTTTCCCGGACTGTTCCAGCAGTCAATCCTGTCGTCTGATATACGGCAGTGTTAGCATTTTTCGCCTCACGTCGCAATCCATTGTTCATGAAAGTCCATAGATGTGATCTAATGCAACATGTTGGTTGGTTGAGTTTGTTGTTGACTACCATGCTTGCAGGAATCCCTCTGCGTTTTAAGAATGTCCACCTACCTGTGTAACCAATCATAATCGAAGATCAACCCCTTCAGAACAGCAACCGTGTTTGTTCTAGCTTATTGCAGGCTGTTATTTGGACGAGATGTTTCAGGCAGTCGTTTAGGAACTCTTCTTCTGCACACAGTCTAACGAGGCGCAAATGTTCACTACCCTGTAGAAGTGTCTTAAATAAGACGCGTTTATAAGCCATCGGCGCAAAACTTGAAGAGCGGATGTACTGGGTACTTCAGCAGATAGCACAGGTTAGTGTGTCATCCGGGCGCCTTTTGGGCAGAATAAGCAAGAACCCCAAACCTCTTGAGAACGTCTTGTGCCACAACCAAAACCAAATTGGTATGCAAATGAGAATTCTTGTCCAACCCGAAACTATTATTATCAATAATAAGACCTGAAAACACACTAAAATTTTCCTCAATAGTGAAAATTAGCATATCATCAACATGACGTCCGAAAAGTTTGGCTCTCATAATATTGCTGCACAAGTTCTTTTCTACGATAAATTAGAATATTTCAGCAAGCTCATGTCACCAACTTCGTGCTACGTAACGTAGTAAAAGTCGGAGCGGCTATTTTTTGCAATGATGGGACACCTAGTGAGATGTTTTTCTATGTAATCATAAAAACCAAGTAAATTCTTTATAAATTTTGCTGGATCATCGATGCGACGTTACTGGTTCTAGAAAGATGTTTTCAGCTGGTGTTAATTCATTTTTTTGCCTATTGTCGGGTTAAACTGATAGTTTGACCCTTCTCGGTCCGCGTTTGGAAAGTTCCAGTTGATAACTACTAACTAGGAGTGATTGGTCGTACCTTACATGCCCTTTGTTCCTGTGTCTGCTACACGGACAAGCTATTGGTCAGTTCGAACGGAAACTGAAATCATCAGCCAAAGACTGCAAGTTTAAATGGGTATCTTCAACTAAATGTCAAGACAGATGCTTGCGCAATGCTATGATTGAAGGCCTGGCATACTAGTCCATCCGCGAAAAACATCTAGCACAGAGCTAACTCACTCACTTCCAAGCATATCAACTTTCTAGATCACCCGAGTTGCCTCACAAATAGTCAGAATCATACGTTGGTAACGAACCTACAGCCTAATCTACGATTATGCCTAACTCACAGAATCCCGAACCACGCACCGTTCTGACCGCTGCTACTGTAAAATCCGTTCAAACATGTTATTTTCGTGCTTATGACAGACATTCTCGTTCAAAATACCCCGCTGAAAAAGCCGTGGTAAACCCGGTCAATTATTCAGCGTTTGCAACGGCACTACCCACCTGGTACATGCCATTATAATCATCAAATTCAATGGCATCGCTCTCCTTGTCCTGGTAGATACTGGAAGTTCCTTTATTTCAATTGGTTCTGACGTTGTGAAACTGCATAACTGAAAATTTATCCAACTTACGCAGTCATCCTGATGGCATTTACATCACTATCCTGTAGAACGACCGGTTTCCCTTGTGTTCCTATCGGATAGAGAGGTGAATCATACAATGAATTACATCATCATCATCGTCATCATTATCATCATCATCATCATCATCATCACCATCATCATCGACAGCATGACATCAGTGTTCAACACCGATGCTTCACTGCCGTACAACCATGACTTATTTGAAAGCCTTATTGTAAAGAAAA